AAAAGTCAAGTTAGCTTTATTTATATAGGCCTACCACATTTAAAACAACCGCTGTTGGCCAAAGTGCTTCACATACGTATTTAATAGGAAGACAAAACAGAATACAAAATTAAGAGTAAATGAAGAAAAAAAATATAAAAATATATATACATACAGATATCCAGGAACCTTATAGATCATCAATAAAACTTTAAAGTCAATTCTAGAACAAACAGAGCCAATGAAGCCAGCACTGGGAAGATATAATCATGTTTTCTGTTAATGTTAAAAATACGAACTTCAGCATTTTTAACTAACTGTAGTCGTGATAGGCTGGCCTGACTAACACCAACATACAGAGAGTAGCAATAATCCAAATCATCTAAGTCTCATCCTTGTCAGAACCAGGTCCTTTCTTGGAGGCCGATACAACGGCCATTGACTCTAATGATGATTTATTTCGCCCAAACGGAGACGGTTAGGGCTGGCGATAAAAGGTTGTCACAATCMTGACTTTATTCTTATAATATTATGACTTYATTCTCGTAATATTATGAATTTAATTCCGTAGTATGTCTGGAATCTGGCTATAAGCATGAATAGGAAACTAAATGACRAAAGGTTTGACATTTATTGACCWAAGTTTCAAAAACATTTATGAATAGTATCTGCTACACCTTGAAGCAAGTCTTGTTTTGTACTTTTTGTGTAGCCAAGCAGGTTCTCATGTGGATTGGTGTAAACAACTGATTGCAGCCACATTATCCAATCAAATGTCGCGACCCATTTCAGCTGACCCTGTGAATCGAGAAAATAAGGTAAATATCTTTTTTATGTGCTAACACAGAGACCCAAACACTTTCATAAAGTTTCATTAAAGTTCATTGAGTAGTTCATGAGACATTTTGCTRATTGAAACGCAAACACACACATCCTTGTATTTGCATCAAACTGAAGACTTTGTATTAACTTCCATTTATTTTTGTAAATGCATTTAAGCCTAACCCAGACATTATCCCTAACACCAACCATTRCTRGTTTATTCATAACCCTAACCTGATCCAAAACTTAATTCATATCATACCTCTAAACCCAACTGGTGGAGCACACAGTAGAGCTGGGAAAAAAAGTGAAGACGGAAAAGGTCCTTACTTTACACCAAAGACCTCACTTTGATAGTAACTATTTTGCATGTAGTCCTTACTAGTTGTGTGAAGCTGACACCCCACCCACACACCCACACAAAAAATCCAAACAAGTAAGCGGATTGGTTAGTGCTTCGTGTGTGCAGGTTTGTGCAGTTAAAATGAGCGTTTGTGCTGTTATAGTTTTTGAGATATTAAACATTATGTCTTTAGCTCATTATGACGTCATCATCCCCCCAGCAACCTCCGAAATTAACCAAAACAGTATACTTTTTTTGTGCCTCGTTTGTGCAGGTTTGTGCAGTAGAAATGAGCGTTTGGGCTGTTACAGTTTTTAAGATATTACAAGTTTTTACTTTAACGCGATGACATCATCGTCCCCCCAGCAAGCTCCGAAATGGTGATGTCATCGGCCGAAATTATAACTGCTAATATCTCGAAAACAAAAGCTGCACAAACGACAGTTTTTACTGCACAAACCTGCACAAACGGAGCATTAACGACCTAGCCCACTTTGGTTTGTTTTTGGAGCGATATGGGGTGATGGTGAACTCTAGATGACCAAGACATATAATATTTAATATCTCGGAAACCAAAACTGCACAAACGACACTTT